TTTCTTGTTCGAGAAGACATTTCACTCGGATATATACATCACAATAGGTAAGAAAAGACTATCACAAACTTCCAGCCCATTCTCACCCCCAAGGCGTCACATAACTGACGCCTTGGGAAGCATTTGACCATGCTTCAATATCTGACGCTTTAGGCGCCCTTTAGCATCAGTTAGATGACGCCCTAGGATCGCGTGTACCCTACCCCCACCCCAGACCTAAACCTAACCGCGTCCTCTAACCGACGCTTTCCTTTAGCGTTAGTTAGATGACGCTGTAGGATCGAGGCGCCTAAAGCGTCAAATATTGAAGCATGGTCAAAGTGATGCCTTGGGGTGAGAATGCGTTGCAACTTCTGTTTCATGCCAATGTTAAAGTGATAGTTCACCCAAAAATCTGAAAAATCTGTCATCATTTAATCACCCAAAAGTTGTTCCAAACTATAGGAGCTTATTTCTTCTGCTGAACATAAGAGAAGATACTGTGAAGAACATGAGTAACCAAACAGTTAGGGGAAAAAATACCATGGAAGGCAATGGTCAAATGTTTGGTAACCGACATTCTTCAAAATATATATATATATTGTGTTCAGCAGAAGAAAGAAACTCATACAGGTTTGGAACGACTTGAGGGCGAGTGAATTATGACAGTATTATCATGTTTGGGTAAACTAATCCTTTAAGTAGTATCCTTCTCTCTAGTCAGTGATGGAGCCGGTAGGAGCAACAATATTTGGGTGACGTGATTGTCACTGCATGTTCCTTTTGAACCCAACACTTTCAACTCAACACTCCAGTAAAATCACAAAATAAAATGCAAATCAGACTGAATTTCATTTTATTTTTATTTTTTATTTGAAAAGGTTGACATTCAAGCAATATTATTGAAAAACTGAACTGAATTACATAGTTTCTTTTTTGATAATTGCCACCCCCAGCACTGAGAACATGATAATTGTCCTTCCCAAAAGTCATGTGTTTTAATGGTTACCATGTAATGACCCTGTAGTTTTTAGTAAGCGAACATCAAATTACAAATAAATTAAGGGCGTGAATCGCTCTGCACCTCTAATTTAGATGAGTCCAGTGTTTGTGGTTACTTCTTAAAAGCTTTCTGCAATTAGCCGCTGGAAGTGATGCACCAATGCTAATTATCGAATAATTGCAGTGATCAAGTTTGTAGAGGTGAATGAGAAGGTTGTTTATAGGACTCCTATAAGTGGCATTACAGATAGCTGATTTTTCTTTCATTTTGATGTTTAATTACATGCACTGCGTTGCTCGTTGGTATTAATTTTAAATAACATAGTGAAACATGCTCCAAAAGCTGCTAATAATTAATACATTCATAAAAGTAATACAAACTATTACAAATTCATTATGGACTCCTTAATGGGATAGTTCACCCAAAAAGTGAAAATGTCTTTCATTTATTTACCCTCATGTTGTTCCAAACCCAAGACTTTTGTTCACCTTTGAAACACAAATGGATATCTGAATGAAATCTGAAAGAATGAATAGACTCCATTGAAAGTCTATTTAAAACAAAAACAAAAAACGAACCTAAAGCGCCTGTAAAGAGAACGTAATATAAATATCAACTAAAATAAAGAATCGAGTGGTTTAATCCAAGCCTTCTGAAGAGGTATGATCACTTTATATGATGAACAGATTTCATTTAGACTTTTATTCACAAATAAACATTGATCAGCGGGAATAAACAGAATGCATGAGCAAAATTTACCAAATTTATATACTATATATATGCAGATTCGCTGATCAATGTTTGTATGTT